TAGACACATGCTCCCGCTGGGAGCCTTTTTTAAAAAATTGTATCTTGCTATCCATAGATCTGGAAACAAAAAGGTGAGGAATACAGAGCAGTAGGTGGTAAGGGCTGGCATTGGATCAGTTCAACCAAGCGATGTCGTCCCTTGCCCAACCCAAGTCCAGCACTCCAGTGTCTTAGGAAGAGCATAGAAAGGGCAAAAGCCAGTGAGTTTTACCACCCTTGATTAATTCAATGTCATACAGTATGCCAGATTAATTATAATGGATATCATGAATCTGTGGTGATGTCATCACATCATTTGCACTGAATTCTCCTATCCCCGACTGATCACTAATTCGATATAGTGCCTGGGGTGATTTTACATCACGATAGAATTTTTTGTTGCTAGGCAAGCTTTGAACGCACACACCAGACCTAAAAAATATCACTCTATGGCGCTGGAAAGCACACGAATGAAGCCCAGACTGTCCTAGGCAAGGCCTAGAAAGGCATAATGTATTGAATATGGTAATTCATTACTTCATGAAATCACTTGTGTACAAAATATAGATCTGTTCAAAACAGCCATCCATAATCATCTCAATTTCCTAGAAGAAGCATAATCTCAAATACTAGCATCACCACTAAAACCTACCCATGTAAACCCTACTTTTAGGGTTGTTGAGCAGAACCAAGACAAGACAAATACAGACGTCACAGAAAAAACTCTTCATACAATAACTAAATTATTTAAAATCCCACTGTTTAACCAAGTGAATCAATGGATAGTAACATTTTGTAAATTTTGACAACAAACCTGATATTTGACATTATTTTATAGGTCATGAAACATGATGTGAAGGTAATTTATTTATATAATCTTTGTCAAATTGTTTTAAAATTATAGGTAAACATTTTTTAAATAGAAAAATGTCTATGTTCAATTTGATAATTTTTATGTTACTTCAAAATAGGGAAGTTAATTTCAAAAATGATTTTTAATATTTCTTTGGTATTTTGCATGGGATGATATATTTTTAAGAAGAATAATTAAATTCTATTAATATGTATATAACATTTTTTTTTTCTTTTTAGATGGCACATTTGATCTGCCTGACTACAGAGAAAAAACACTAGAAATCCGGGATCTCAGTAAGGTTATAGAGGCCAAGAAGCAAAAGATTGCTTCTGAAGTACAAGCATCAAGCGAAGAAGAAACTGAAGAGATGGAAACTGAAGAAAACAGTGAAGTGGAAAGCAAAATTCCAGAAAATGAACTGACAGTTGAAAATCAAAATACACAGATTGATAATGAACCAGTAGTTAAAAATATTGAATCTGGAGAAAATGATATAAGTGAACTGCCAACAAAATTAATTATAGAAAAAAATAAAATTCAATCTGAGGCAATAAAAGAAACATTACCAGATGCTACAGATATAAAAGTTGAATTGAAGGAACCAGCTGTTGATTATGACATCAAGACAGAGAAAATTGATGCACCAAGAAAAGCGAACAAAAAGTCTAAATCAGAAAACAAGTTTGCAGCCCTGAGGTTTAATGAATTGGATATATGTCGGGCAATGAGAGAGCATGTTGTATACAGAAAGATCTCTTGGAGATCTAAACTTGAGGGTTTGTTAGAACATCGCGAGAAGCAACATGCCATTGACAATGAAGCATATGAGTCAGATTTACGAAAATATACCATTTATAAAAGAGCTCTTGCTGAGAGAACTCGTCTGGAAAATCTACTCCGAGAAGGAGAAGCAGCCATGGAAAATGATGATTTTGAGTCAGTCATTCGTAATGCAGAAGAAACTGTCCAACTCTCTAGTGAAAAAGAGATTTTGAAAAAGCCTGCCAGCACTGGAGAACTCCAAGCAGAGTTTAAAACTTTGCCATTAGGGAAATCTGCGGAATCTGTAGTAAAACTATCACCACATAAAACTTTAGCAAATACAGATATCAAAGCAGAATTTAAAACAATGCCTCCACTTGCTCTTATTTCTCAAAAAACATCCCCATCATTGGCCAATGCAAAGAGTATTTTAATTGGTAAAAGCAACTCCAGTGCATGTGAACAGATAGCTATTAAACCTGCAACCTCAGCCCCAACCTTCCAAGCAGCATATGTTAATTGTCTCCAAAATACTAGTCAGTCACTCAAAGAAGTAGCATGTTTGTCAGGAAAAGAGAAATTGGCATCATCAATAGGTGTAAAGACTTCCGAAAAACAATTAAATATTTCTCAATTGGGATCTGATTCACTTGAGAAAGAATCTCAATCAATAGATACAGAAGATTCTGTTACTTCTAAAAGTGATGCAATGCACAATTGTGCTATAGGTTTTGAAAAACCAGCAACCAATCAACTCTCCGATACTGAAGAATTGACACCCCAGTTAACACCCTCAGAAGATGTCAAGAAATCAGACAGTGCAAAACTCGCTGCTGAGAAATCACCTAGCGGTGCAGAGGACAAGCCACTTCAAGACCTAGTTACAGAAGCAATGGAAACATCTGACTGTGTTGAAAGTAGTGCAGAGAACATGCAATATCACAATTTAGGTACCGAAGCAATAGATGCAACTGGCCTGGTTGAAAGCAGTACACAAGACAATACTGTAGTTTCTGAAGAATTGTCACATCAGTTGACACCCTCAGAGGAAGATGTTGAGAAAAAATCCCCTATGGTAGCATCTGTACATGAAGTCTTGCCAGAAGATAAAATCCAACAAAATATAACAAGGCAAGCAACAACTCTGGAAGTTGAAAGCACTGCAAAGGACATGTTAGCTCAGGATTTAGTTACAGATGAAATGGAATTAACTGGATTGGTTGAAAGCATTGAAAATGACAAGCCACATCAGGATTTAGTTACAGAAGCCATGGAAGCATCTGACTTGGTTGGGAGCAGTGCGGAGGACAGACCACATCAGGATCAAGTTACAGATGCAATGGAAACATCTGACTGTGTTGAAAGAAGTGCAGATAACATGCAATATCATGATTTAGGTACAGAAACGCAAGAAGCATTTGTTCAGGTTAATAGCAGTACAAACTGCAATACTTTAGTTTCTGAAGAATTGGCAAATTGGTTAACACCCTCAAACGATGTCGAGAAATCAGAGGGTGCAAACCCCATTGAGAATTCACCTATAGTTGGACCTGTACATCTTTCTGAAGTCTTACCAGAAGATACAATCCAACAAAAAGTAACAAGGCAAGCATCAACTGTAGAAGTTGAAAGCACTGCAAAGGACATGACAGCTCAGAATTTAGTTACAGATGAAATGAAATTAACTGAATTGGCTGAAAGCATTGGAAATAATGAGCCACTTCAAGATTTAGTAACAGTAGCAATGGAAACATCTGGCTTGGTTGATAGCAGTGCAGAAAACTTGCCATGTCAAGATTTAGGTACAGAGGCATTGGAAACAACTGACCTGATTGAAAGCAGTGCTAAGAACATACCTTCTCAGGATTCACTTAAAGAGGCAATGGAAACGGATACATTTCAAAATTCTGTTTCTCTTCCATCGTTAGATAATGGGCCTGTTGATCATGAAATTGAGATCCCATATCCAGAAAACGTGTTAGTCACTAATGAAAAAACTACATTATTGTCTACCTTTGCTGGGGAGGATTTGGAAAAAAGGACTAAAAACTTAGATATAGAAGAAACTGCGACACTTGTAAAAGATGAGTGTATGATACCTGTCAATGATAAATGTGAAAATAGTGACCTTACTTCTGACCTCAAAAAGCAGAATGATAAACTTACTCATTTGTCAGAGGATACAACCTCTGAAAACTTGGATGAACAATGTGTTTTTAACAATACTGTGGTCAATAGTCACTTGGAAGAACATTTGCAGCTTGAACCAGATGTTGGGACCAAAAGTATAACTGAGAAAAGCGAAAAGCACCGTCAAGCTATAGAAAGCGATGCAGCAGCAGTCACTGGAAACAAGATTACATTAAATTGTGTGGAGGAAAATTTTTATCAGAATCTTAAACAAGCTCCTGGACAAAACAGTGTTGTGTTAACAACTGAGAATGACATACCTGCACCCCATTCCATAGGTACAGCTGGTGAACCATCAACATTAGTTGCAGATGCAGCTAAGATTTCTACCATCACAGGAGAAACTAAGGAAATTGCATTGCCAAATCCTGTTACTCCAAGTATCACCAGTGGACATGAATATCCAGTAACAGAAATTCCAGCATTAAACACATCTAACAGAGAAGCCATTTCTTACGATTCAACAACACCTAATCCTGCGAAAGAGTTAACAGAATCGATTACACCAGTTGGTTCAAGTAACTTAAGTGGCCATTCACCTCAACCTTCAGTATCAAATACATCCATCATAGTTTCTCCATCCTCTAATTCGACAGATCCTATTGGTTTCTCAATAAATGCATCCAATGCTTTATCAGCTTTATCAGCAGTGGCAGCAAAAGAATTTAAAGCAGCAAATTTAACAGAAACATCTGTAAAAGACAATTGCATGAAAGATTCCATAACAAAGCAGACTGTTGCAGAGAGCTTGAGTAATAGCATAGTAACAGTGTCAACCAGCTCTGTAACAATTAAAACAACCACTACAACTACATTGTCAACTAAAATCACCACAGTAACCACAACTACAGAGGAGAAGAATGTCCTGACTGAGACAAGCTCACAGAGTATATCTGTGAAGAAGAAATATTCTCAAGAGACTTTGAAATCTTTGGCTAAAAAGCTTAGTGAGACATTGATAGTTCCAGTCTCACCTCCAATTGAGTATCACACATACCAGACTACCTCATTGACCAAATACTCCAAAACTAAGAAGGCAGTTAAGAAAGTGACTAATCCATTACCAATATGCCGCAAGTTCTCAACTAAGAGTAATCGAAAAAGTGTCCTTGTACTTCCCCCTCATATACTAAAAAAATTGGCCCGCCATGCAGGGAGATTTGATGTTGAAGGATTTATTTACAACACTAAGGCTGTGCGGCAGTATCATTGGCCTTATCCCTGTCCCAGGCCATCTTTTAAAACGTGTTGGCGATACAGGGTGCAGACACTGAACTCATTGGCGTCTGTCGGTCTGTCACTGCGGGTTCTTTGGGCATCACTTCGATGGGAAGACCTTGGGAGAACAGGCAGTCATCATGAAACAACCGAAACGGAGAATATAAAAACTGATATTCTTAAAAAGCGCGAAGTTGGACATAATGGTGAAAGGACAGAGTACTTGATCCGCAAGACGTATACTCCCATTGTGGAAGACCTCCCCAAAGGTAAATTTTGTTTTAATTAAAGTGGTTAGTTGATGTTTTATATTTTGGTCTGGAAAATGATTTATAATCAATCAAAGGTTTCAAATTTATCATTCTATGCTTTAAACGTCATGTCCATTTAAATAAAATGAATAAAATATTTTTGTTCTAAATTACCAAGATATTATATTTCCTGTTCAAGAGATTTACTAGTTCTTGAATTTATTTCATAATAGATAGGAGTTTGTGTCTATATATTTTACCGTAACTTGTGACCTTGTTCACTCACAAAATATCACAAACCACATTGATCTGTCCTACACTCAAGTTCAGCCCCTGCCAAACACTTAAAGATGAAAAGTTCTTGAAATTTTCTGTTCAGAACATTTACTAATTCTGCAATTTATTTCATATCGTTGTCATATAGGATTATGTGTCTGTATATTTCATAGAAACTTTTAACCTTGTTCACAGAATATCACAAGCCACAGCGATCTGGCCTACGCTCAAGTTCAGCCCCTGCCAAAACACTTGATGACGAAAAACCAAAAGGCCCTCTTGTGACAGAACATTGGATACCAGAAGAAAGCTTAGAATTATGGGAAATTCAAGAGTTCAGTGACAGGTATGAAAACAGAATATAAATAAAAAGCGAAAATTCTAGTTGATAATATTTTTTTAGTAATAGAATAGAAATTCAAAATGCTTGATGGATCATAAATTTATTATTTACTTGTTTATTTATTATTTTGAGATGTCTGTTTGCCTTTCATTCCTAGTGTTCAGTGTTAAAGATGTGTGCCTGTAAATAAAAGATTTTTTCATTCCAAAAAATAAAATAAAAATAAATAGTGAATCCTTTCCTGATACTCGCTCCTAAGTATATCTTGTGTAGATTTGTCATGTTTTAAAGTTAATACCAATTATAGATTTAAAGTGTTAGTCAACGTTTTGTAATTTGTGTTTATTTAAGCTAAAATTTAACAACAATTCAGTTTTTGAACTACCGTGAGTTTTTTTTTCTCCTTTAGGGTGGAGAAGGAACATCAAGCCCAGTTGCAAGCAAAACAACAAGAGATCTTAAAAGAAAAACAAAAAGCAAAACAACATCAGGATGCACAAATCAACAAGACTGCTCAAGCCATTAAGGAACAGCTGGAACAACAGCTGAAGACGCAAAAGCAAGCCATGCAGCAGGTAGGGTACTTGCTCCATTTCGATTTTCAGTCCAAAGTTTTTTATTATTGAACAATAATTTTCTTTATCTACATTTTCTGTAATCCTAAAGGATGTTTGCTAAACTCAAACTTCAATATACACTGGCAGCTATATATACATGTATAGTTGCAACAAGGCAACACTCCAAGGCCCTTTCAAGGTACCTTTGCTGTAAATAGTAACTTAAAAGCAGGGGCGTATCTCAGAATCTCGAAATGTGCATCTGTTGTGAAGGTGAGGGCTCGATGATTAAATGAGGACGAGCTAGCTCACAAAGTATGATAATATAAAGTGATTTTTATGTGCTTGAGCATGATTTTTTTTTCCTTCGAAAATTTTCAATAGGAGGGGGGTGGTGGCGACTAGAATGCATGCAATTTTTTAGAGGGGGTGTGGTCTGTGCCCTTCCCTACATATGCCACTGCTAAAAAGTGATGACAGATTTTAAGTAAATATATTATTAGTTACATTCAAATTAATTTTGGTAGGCCACAAGGTTTAGTGATTAATGTATTTTGTATCCAATCAGAAACGTCTGCAGAGTAACACCCAGCCAGGGAAGGTGCAGTTTGCGAACACCTTGGCATTACCAATGGCAGATCAAACAGGGCTTCCCAAGGTGGCAGTCAATGCAGCAGCAAGCAAGATACTAAGTAAGAAAAATGTACCAACATCCCAGCAGAAGGTTGTCAGTGTTACAAGTCAGTTTATTTACTTTTTATATACTATTATATACTTTTTATATACTATTTAATTGATTTGTCATCATATAAGTAAAAAGTGATATTTTACGGTGAATTTCATATCATACTTTCTTGTGACAATAAGTGATAATGTACATATGTGTATGTATAATATAAATGTATCAATCTGCATACAACATTGGAATCATTCAGTACAATTTAGATAATTGTAGTTAATCCTTAGTTATGAAACATGCCAGCTTTTAACAAGGCAGTATAAATACAATAAATGAATTAATATTTAATAAAATTATTGAATGGTAATTAAAATAAGTCCTTGATGGATACCATCTGTTTGACAATGTCGTTCATTTCAAATGTCTTCCAATACAACACACAGCCATAAGGCAAATACATTTTTAAAATTAAACATTGAATTATTCATTGCAAAAACTGATAAATTGACTTTTTTGTCACACAAGTTTATAACCATACCAAACATCGAGGCAGCTAAATTAAAATTTAATGTCAATACAGTAATGAACACAAATATTTTATGTAAAATTTTTACTTTTAAAATGAAAATGGTTTCTACTTATTCATTACTAATCCATGCTAAATTTTTATTTTTTTTTGTTAGGTGGTTTGCCTGTACATGGATTAAGAACAATTACACCCCGTCTACCACGCACTCCAGGTGTTAAAATCCAAACAGTCAACCCAGCTCCACTGCAGCGCATCACATTCAGACCCCAGGCACAGGTAGCACAGACGATGCAGCAACCGGTCACACAGACCCTAGGCCAGATCAAACTGACCCTCCCTGGTCAGTCTGGCGCAACAACACCAACAATAATCCGAGCTCAAGTCCCTGTACCACTCACAGCTGCGCAAGCACAGTCTACAGGTCAAACCCAGGTCATGGGTCAAGCACAGATATTTGCATCCCAAGCCCAGGTACTGCAGGTTGGAGGTCAAAAGTTTATTGTGACCCCGGCCGTGGTGACTGTCCCAACGACACTGCAGACCATACCAGCCCAACTGATTCAAACACAAACAGCCCAAGGAACTACTGTGCAAAGGCTTGTACTCACTCCAAATGCTACAGGTATAGTTGACTAGAGTGTTTTGTTTTCTTAAATTTCTAATTTTGTATGGTGGTAAGTACACTACCAAGCACAAAAAATAATTCAATTTTTATTTGAAATTATACTTGTAATAATAAAGGCTTTGTTTAAACACGGACAAGCTTGTATCACAGTCACCCGAAGGTGTTCTACTACAAGGCTGTAATATTGATAAAACTAATCATTATCAGGGGGCGGCGAAATAAGGTATAAACAAGTTTTTGCATTGCATTCCCTTGATTACATTTACAATATAGTAGGACAAATCTATGACAAAATTAAAATAATGATGACCGTAATAATATTTTGTATTTGCCTTTGATATCACTAGGAGCAACGACAAGTACTGCAAGTAGTAGCACTACGACGACGACAACGACGACCCCACCACAAGTGCCTCAGATCAATCTCAACACCACGCTGACAGCCCTCCAGCAAGCGGTGCCGGCGTCCTCCAGCCAGCAGACCCAGCAGCAACAGAAACAGCAGATTATACAGAACCAGCAGCAGATCCAGCAGCAGCAGAACCTCCTGCAGGTCTTCAGGCAGAAACAGATGGAGCAGATGCAGCAGATAGCATCCATGCAATCGCAGGACAAGCCCCAACAGTCGACTACCCTCTTTGATCCAAAACGGTCGCTAGTTAAGATTGGCAAGGAGAGGAGCAAGACGCTGACAGCACAGGAAAAGGCTGATCATGCAAGGTTTGTTGCACTTCCACATTCCTTTGTTAAAACTAAAGCAGTCACCCCATACAGTGCATACCTCTGCCCTGTACGTGAATACTAACAATACACAGGATGGGCCAAATTGCCCAAAATTACCCACTTCTAGATGCCAGGAAATTATCTTCAGGTAGGGTGTCACTAATATGCCATGCAGGTTTTCATCTTAAATAATTATCAAAAGAGTAAGGAATTGTATCCCTGTGTACCCCACTGGAAATAGCACACATTTATCATGTTGTTGAATCTGTATGTCTGGAGATGATGGATCCTAACCACCAAGTCACTACCCTTGTTAACATTTAGGAAGGTATTATTAAAACATCCTTTAAATGTTAAAATAATTTGATGAAAGATGAAAAAGAAAACCAATCAACTTAACAGCAAGACTCAAGCAGTGGACATTACATTGACATAGAGATTTGCACAGTGTGGCATACTGTAGATTAACAGTCACCATATAAAATTAATATTAAATCTCATGTGGCTAGCATTACCTGACAAAAAAAATAATTGCCCTGGATATACCTGAACTTTAGTATTATGGTAGATTGATTGAAGATTCTGGGAAAGACATCATTAAATTGTGCTCCCGATTTATGCCTTGTATAAACAGATTATTCCTTGGTGTTAAGTACAGTAATTACAAAATGTGCAAAATTAACCCGGAGGGAGTGAAGGTAATTCAAAATGAAGTAGCCCTACTCTTGATATACTATAATCTGTTAACTTTATAAAGTTCTAAATATGTCATTCTGCCACTGTACGAATTACACTGACTTTCGTGTTGTACATATTTCACAATAATCTATAGCTATGCCAAACCCAGTGCAAAAGGAATTTTTTTTTTAATCACGCTAGTTATCGTGTCAGGCCAGTAAACAAATATACACACAATAGCTGCTGAAATTGTGCGAGCTTCGGTTGTTCACACTGAAATCTACATAGGTACACACTGACCTCAGAAATGTGAAGCCAGATGGTACAAGGTACTAGATAAGAGAGCAGCTTAGCTCAGTCAGCTAATCTGGTGGTAGCCACTGTGTGTGCGCTAAACCGTGGCGATCTCTAGGTCCTCGGTTCAATTCCCATCGCTGCCTCTCCTTGTTTTTCAGCTATAGGGCTGAAATACAAGTTAGAAAGCGCACTGTCTTTTGGATGAGACGTTTAAGCCGTTGGTCCCGTGTGCATTTATGGCCCATGTGCACGTTAAAGAACACAGTACCCTCTTCGGGAAAGAGTAGGGGATTGTCTGCCGATGTAATGTCCAATCACCACCAGAAGGACCCCACTGGAAATAAGTCTTCTAGACTTTCGTGGCTATCCTTGGTGTTTATACCGAATAAATCCAATCCAATCCAATAGGTGGCACTTACACCAAACTTCTCATGAGAGCCCAAAAATCTGCAAAAGGTTCGACTGCCATTATTTTGCATGTATGCAATGGAAAGTTTTAAAAAGTACTACCGCAAGATAGCCCTATTAGAATTTGAATAGAGTTCAAAACTCAAACATGCGTTGTATAGACACAGCACTCGTTCAATAGGAACACCTTTTATGTTCTGTTGAAGGATGCCCCTAGAGGGTAATAGGTAATACTTTTTGAGATAGGGTTGCATTCCAACGAAACCTTAATAGTCGGACCTCTTGCTAGAAAATAAGCTCGAAAAATCACACGAATAAACGATAGATTTACAATGACATCCCTCCAATTTCATCTACACTTGCAATCAGAAGAGCTCGTTTTGTTAGACAGTGCTTGAGAGCAAAAGAACAAATCTGACCACTATAACTGTGGCGGGAGCAGGCATTCCCTAACACCATCGCCAGAGACACCGCCCTCAACCTCAAAGATCTCAGTGGAGTAATGAGCCACATGCTGCCTGCCCCCTGCTCTACATAAACTATAGTCCAAAGATCTTATAAACACAAGATAGCGTTCTCCGCCATTTACGCGTAACAAATAGAAGCGGCGGTCAAGGTTAAAAAGTTTCCAATTTAGCAAGAGGGCGCCATTCATGCGCTATTATACCAAAGAGAAAAAGTAAACAGTTTTGGAAGAGGGTGTCCTATCTGTTGCCATGGATCTGAGATGGTTCCTGTTCTGCTGTTCACAGGATTGACACCCTAAAGGTAAAGTCGCGCGGTGTACGGTATGGTCAGAGCGGTCAAGGGTCAAAAGTTTCCAATTTAGCAAGAGGGCGCCATTCATGCCTTATTATAGAATTTGCCCGCGTAAATCGCGGAGAACGCTATCTTGTGTTTATAAGATCTTTGCTATAGTCTCACTGTGAGGCTTAGGTATTGAAGTAGTTTTTGGCCAGGAGAAAAAAAAAGTCCTGTTACTATGACAGGAATTGAACCCAGGACCCTAGGATTGGAAGGGAAGCATCTTACCCTCTAAACTACTCTACTCAATATAAACCTGTGCTATATATGATATTTTAGAAATTTATAGAAAGTTATACATACATAAAAATTGGTTTATTTTTTCTATTGTTTCTTAGGGAACTTGTTTGTAAATCTCTGATAAAAGGAATGCTTGATAAGATCGAAAAGACGGAAAAGATGGATCTGAAGCGCAAACGCCAGGATGAATTCCGCGAAGAGAAACGTGAGGAAAAGCGTATTCGATTGATGGCGCACAAGCTCAGTTCGATCCTCTACAAACACAAGGATCAGCTGAAGAACGAGATGAGAAGGAAACGCTATCTCCTTGAACAGAAGTTATTACATGATGTACAGGTTGGTATATTAGGCCAGAAACAAAATAGTTGTGTTACCCTTCAAGACCGCCTAAAAATTTGTGTGGGCTTTGGTGTTTTTTTTTTTCCCCCCCCAAAATTTGTGTGGGCTTTGGTTTTTAACACTGAATTCTCATAGACTTACACTTCAAAACACTCAGTAGTGTGAAGCCAGATGGCACCTACACCAAACTCCTCATGAGGATCCTAGCAGCAGGGCTAGGTAAGAAAGGGCCCTAGGGCAAGATTAATCAGCGAAAGTCCCTCCCTAAGCCCTATCTACCGTATTTCAAATTCTGGATCTGCCACTGATTTCTTTTACGGCAGGATGAATTCCGCCAAGAGAAACGCGAGGATAAACACATTCGATTGATGCCACATAATCTCAGTTCGATCCTTTGCAAACACAAGGATCAGCTGAAGAATGAGATGAGAAGGAAACAGCATCTCCTGGAACAGAAGCTGTTACATGATATACAGGTTGGTATATTATGCCAAAAACAAAATATGTTGTGTTACTCACCACGACCAACAGAAATTTTCCGAAAATTTCGCTTCAGGGTTTTTTTTTTTTACATTTTTCAAATTTCTTTCACTCAAATTACAAATTTGAGAAATATAACCTGAAATTAACATTTGAAACATTAAATCAAACAAAAGCTCTTTTTTTTGTGACCAGAATAAGACTAGATGCACGTGTAAATTGATAAAATAATTTTGGGACCGAGCACTCAACGATGCATGCCACATTGGATCTGTCCCACTGTCTGTGCATGGCCCTTTCTAGGTATAGCCTAGGCTAATCTTCTCTACTAGGTAAGCCATTCTTTAGTAGTACAATGCATAGTTGCAAGAAACAAAGATCGTTAAATCATTACGGCATTGGAAAATACTGGTACAATATTAAGCGGGGCACACTGCGTCATACGATTATCGGCCGACGAATCCGTTTCTGCTCTTCAGCCCAGCCAGCCTAGCCTAGCCTAGCCTAGCCTAGCCTAGCCCAGCCCAGCCTAGCCCAGCCCAGCCCTCTTCAAGTCCTTGATGATGTGATGTCGTCTGTTGATTGTTGGTACCAGTCTGTGCAATTCATCTTTAAAAATAATCTGTTGCGTGCGCCTCGTCATATTGCATTCTCTATGGAATCGTGCCAGTTGACGACCAACGGCACAGTTTTTCTAGATTTGAAATCGGTTCGTCACATTGCATTCTCTATGGAATCATGTCGGTTGACGACCATCGGCACAGTTTCTCTAGATTTGAAATCGGCCCCCATTTCCTTTATTTGAAATACTTTGTATGCATACATTATTATTTCTTTTATTTATATTAGTTTTATTTATTATTTTAAATATTATAGATGGTAACCCTTTTAGCGTTGTTGGCAGTCAGGGGCCCTCTACATGTTAAAATGAAATACAATACTATATATTATAAATATAATTATATATAAAACATAAGGTTTGCTTTAAATAAATCATTATCTAGCAAAACTTTCATTAAAACATTGTAATCTCGGTACAAACAATGAAGACAGGAACAATAGACTGTTGAAGGGTGGCAGTGGAGTGTGTGATAATTTTTCTTTACTGATATATGTACACGTGGAGAGGTAATATAGGTGGGAAGTATAGAAGGATTGAGTAATAAAGAAGGGCACATTTATCAACTATAGTTAAACTGTATTGATCTTGTCAAGTTTTGACATGTTTCTTCGTAGTTTCTAAAACATTGAATATCATTTTACATATTCCCCCACCCAAAAAAGCAAAAACAAAAAAAAAAAACTGTCACAAATCATGGAATTAGCTTAGTATGAAATATTAGATTAGAACATTCTAAAGATTAGTAAACTGAAACATAAATAACAATAAAATATATGAGCTTTATCTTTTCATGTTTCGACATGTTTCTTCATAGTTGCTTAAACATTGAATATCATTTGACTTCCTCCCTTTATTATATTTTGCAATATGATAGCCAATCTGGTGGCAATGTACTTTAGTTGAGGCAATACCGGAGCAATGCTTCACTTTTGGATCTTGCTCGAATTTTTTCCGCATCCCTCGAGCACATTAACGAGATTTGGGATTTCCTGTATAATTGTAAATAAGATTATTTGTCTGTAATGGGTATGTTCCACGACGTTGATCTGAAATAAGATTTCTAAACAAGTAAAATGTAGTTTCATTGGTCACTGGAGACCTAGCAGTCATTACAAAAACTGTCAGCCGAAGGTGTATTTAGATTAAAAGAAAGTGGGAAAAAAAATCTTTAAGAGATGCACTGTTGAGATAACTACACATGCATGTAATAAACTTATTAAAAGAAAATGTACCTCACATCTAGAAAAACAGTAAAATGTGTACTGGAGTTGGTGAGCTGAACTGAAATATAACAAACAACATTTACTAACTGAAAATATCTAATGAATACGAAAAAAAATATGAAAAATGAGAATTGTACACAACTGGAATTGATTTTAAATCCAAAATTGAATCCAATACAGAGCAAGGGTAAATGTACGTCATTAACAAATTGGTGGTGGTGGATAATAACAATATAAAAAATTGAACATTGGCTTGGAATCACAATTGACTATGATTTGGAATTAAAAAGTAAATCCTTGTCAAGCCACAGGACTCATAGGCCTGGAGCTTATTCCCAGTTTCAAGTAGCATGAAGCGGATAAGAGTGTGATGCTCCCCCTGGGTGGGATACTGGTTCACCTCAAGGTACGCCCAGTAATTCAGCTGGGTAGACTGAAGCAACGTAGATAAAGTGCCTTGCTCAAGGACACAAACGAAATTGACAGTGAATAATTGAAACCCTGACATTTTCAGTGCGTCAAACTGCCTCCACATGATTTGGAATTAACTCTGGCAAATTTCATAGTTATTTGAAGTTTTTAATAATGTTTGTAAAGTATATATTCTTGGGGAGAACATTGATTGTACTGCATAATATGCAACATAAAAAAGGAAAAAATATTGATGAGAAAGTTAAAGAAAAAATTAAATTTTCTTTGGTTTAGGAGGAGGCGAAGCAAGAAGTTCGACGCGAGAAGGAAATGGCTCGGAAGAGAAAGCAGCAGCAACAACAAAAACAACAACTGCAACAACAGCAACAGCAGCAACAAGTACAGCAACAGTTACAGGAACAACAGCTATTTGATGCTGTTGACCAGCCTATACCTGTAGCACTGCATAAAGCCCAACCAGTAGAAATTAAGTATACACCTGAGGTACCGGTTGAAAATGTAGTGGAAAAACCGAAGGACACGTCGCGCTCGCCAACAACTCCAAAGAGGAGACGGACAGATTCCACAAAATCGGAACCTAAGCAAGAGAAAGCAAACAAATCAACTGCAGCAAAAGCTCAGAAAACACAAGAAAAGGAAGTGAAGAAGAAATCAAATGATAAACTGTATTGTATTTGCAAGACGCCATATGACGCCTCAAAGTAAGTGATTTTTTAAAGATTTTCTTTTGCATTTTTTAAAAATCTGTGACAGTGGCCATATTCGACTGGTCGTTCTTTGTTAAACCACACCCACCTACATTGGTAAAATCCTACTTAACAAAGACAACCAGTGAAATGAACCAGTCAAATAAGCCCAATTTCATTATTTTCTTTCAACATCAATAGATAAATCATACAATAACCATAGGTAATATTACAGTATTTTAGCAGTCAAAGAAAGGAGAAATTCTAGAAGGATAATGCTTGAATTGCAATTAATGAATCATATTTCTTGTTTCGAGTTTCAACACAAGTTTACCTTGTAAACTTTTTTACTGATACTGTTATTTTTTCTTGTTGTATTGGATGTAAGAATCAAAAATATTTTATTGTTATAATCAAACATGTAAACAGCGTCTCTTTTAGTTTTTTGGAAGCTACCAAAATACAACAGAAAATCCAATGCTTTAAATAATAATAACAACAACATATAAGCAAGCTCTTAATGTGTTGTAAATGTTTTTGTATCCAAATGGTTTACAAATAAAATGCAGGTTTTGCAGCACATTATACCAACCAGGCCTGTATGTACTTTCGCTCTCTACCTAACATAGATTTGGTAAAATTATGTCCTAGAAACCATGCGACGAGAACATTCTGGCATGAGCAGATGACTTTTTAGTGATATCATTACATTCTACATCCTACCACGTCGTGCAATCAAAATTTTCCTAATATTACCTCAGTTATTGGATAAAATACCTGAAACACATAGGCCTACTCATCTTCTTGAGGAACAACTCAATTCAAATCAATTCATTTTCTTTGAGTGCTTTGAATAATATTATAATAATGATAGTTATAAAATAATTTATATAGCGCATATTGTGCAGTGCCTCTATGTTTTACAACAAATTATAAAACAAAAAGCATGATGACTTCCAACAATTTAATGAGTTGTGATAGCAAAACAGCACTAGGTCCCAAAGTGTCAACCAATCGCCTCTGCCCTGTTGCAATCTCGGTCCCCTACTTAAGAGTGTGCGACCAAAGGATTCATCTTGGGTTAATATCTGCTGAAAAAAAGCCATGAAAACATTAACAATGTTATACAGCAGTATTGAAGCCTGCCAATGCCAGTCTTCACTTATTTCAGGTAATAATAATCATATAGCGCGCAATACAATAAAATTACCACTGTGCACTTTAAGAGAGATAATCGCAGGTAAAGTGCCATGCCAAGGACACAAGTGAAATGCTCCGCTAGTATTTAAAACCTCTATCCTCAAGGTTAAAAAAATGACAACCACTTGTCTTAGCACCTATCAGTGTAAATTGGCCTAGACACTGAATGACATGCATGAAGGGGACGGAGGTTGTGCAATATATTCCCTTGATGCTATCTAATGAGCAAGGGCAGGGCCTGTGTTATGTGAACTTTACCTAATAATATACCAGTCTGTGAATATCCAAGTGTTGCAGTATCTGTTGGTGATATTAAAAACACCAGTAATTTGAATTATTGATGATGTTTAGCAGAATGTGCTTGGTAACAATAAATTTGAGTAAATATCTTGAAATTTCAAGAGCAAATAAAAAATGTCCGAAAATTAGTGAAATTCCGAGTGAAAAATGGACTATTTCCCTAATATTCATCTCCATTTTTGTACATTCATAATTAGGCAAAATTTTATTAGGAGCTACACGAATTTCACTATGCTTGCTCAGTTTAGGTCTTTATGAGCTAGGGAAAAATGAGAATGTCGCCCTCTAGTGATGGCAGCTATCAGCATAATTTGTGTGATCCAATTCAGTAGAAAATATTGCACTTGAGGGGAATGTATATGGTTGATGTTCATTCAATGATGAAATGCTTTCCTGTAATGTTCTGCCTAATATATGATGTATCTTTAGTGTCAGTTTTTATGTGTAGTCTCCATGGAGCTTGAAAACTTTATATTGTAATAATATGTCTGTCTGGAAGAAAAAAGATATGTAATGCATCATTTGAAGTTATATAATTCAAATAGTTAAATATTCTATTGTATTTATTGAATTTATGAAGTGTTTTAAATGTAAGGCGGTTCCCCACGAAATAACCAGTGTTTATTTAATGTTGAGAAAATTAATAGGAATTGAAAGCTTATTCTTGTAGGGGGAATAGTAAATACTGTACATATTGATAAATGCGTGATTATAATGGCAGTCATAGGGTTATGAGGATGATTGTTGATGATGATGATACGATAACGACGTACGATGGTGATGTGGATTGTGAATGGTGGTGGTGGTGTTGGTGGCAAATGCGATGTGGATGGTGAATGATGATAATGGTTATAGTGGCAGCAACGATGTGGATTGTGATTGGTGATAGCGGCAGCGACGGCGATCTGGATGGTAGATGAAGGTAACGGTGGCATTGTCACCATATTGATGGCAACGGTGATCTAGATGATGATATTGACAGTGAACTGGATGGCGGATAAAGATAATGTTGGCGTTGGCAGCAACCGTGATGTGATTGGTGATAATGGCAGTGACGATGATCTGGATAGTCAAATGATAATACTGGTGGCAGTGGTTAGCAGTGATCTGGATTGGGATATTGATGGTGACGGCAAACTGGATGCTTGATGATGGCAATGGTGGTGATGTATAGTTTATTATAATGATGATATTTACATTGGAGGTGGTATGACGATTGTGTAAATGGTGGAGATGTTGATTTTTTTATGATGAGAATGGTTATGATAATGATAGTATCAATGATTTGGTGTTACAAAAACGAGAAAAAAAAAAAAAACCATTATAACTGAAATTAATACAAGACGATTCGATTTGATATAAAAAAATAAGTATTTAAAAAATTAGAAAAACAAAACTAAAATAAATTAAACTAAACTAAACTAGAGAATGGCAATTTCCTTACTAAAATACAAATGCTGTATTTCTTAATTCTTCATAATATTAACTTATTTAAAAAAGACTAATTTCAATACATACATCATGATATTACGGTAACATTATGTATATAGCCTAATTTCTTTAAATCACTAACAATAAGTTGTTTAATTTAAAATTATGATTTGGTGTATTTGGTGTAATTTTTTCTCAATGCTGGTACAGAAAGTACTGTAAAGGTTTTTGATTCTACTGTATCAAACTCCGCTCTATAGTATAGCTTAAAACTTTTTTTTTCTTGATAAGAATAGATAATGAATGAATAGGTTATTGTAAATGTAGCAAATTAACTTAATGTAATAATAGGCATGTTGATAGGGGTAGTAATATTAGTGATGATAACTATAATTATATAATAATGGCAATGCTGATGTAAATGTAATTAATGATAATTGATATAGATTTTAGATGTAATGATGAACATAATGTAAAGTGTTATTAATGCTTAAGTTTTGCGTAATTGATAAATGATCCTTACAAAGTACAGATTTATCAGTTTAGACTATAGAACAATTATAGTTAAAATAGGTTTATGTCTAAATTAATTAATTCTCTAATACAATTTCATCGTTATATTTAGTAGCATATTGATTGATTCATGACTTAGTATATACTCATGAGAAATAATTTCTATTATATAATACACCTAGATCTTTTCCATTTGATTGATTTGACATATCATGTGGCATAGAGTATTTGCACCATTCAATGGCAAAATAATCCCCCCCTTTTTTTTTTGCTCAAAATATAATTCAAGATTGAAATGAAGAGCTTGCAGTCAAATTTAAATTTAAGGGATCAGGTTACCTACATATGTCATGCCAGTGTTGCAGTGCATCGTAATCTTCAGTAACACTACCTACCATAGATACCCTGTGTAGTTGATATAATAATAAATGAGCTCTTATGTAGCGCCAGTATCCATCTTGCGATGCCCATGGTGCTTCAAATCCGCCTACTAAACAGGAAAGAGATGCGATTTTAAGTTCCTTTTGAAAGTATCTCGAGTGGTGCAGAATCTTAAGATATATCTCATGAAAATTTATTGAAACAGTTTTCACAAAGCAGTTTTATTTAAATAGATACTGTATGAAATTTTAGCTGCAAGCAAAGCAGATTATACTGTTCACATGTTTTACTGTCTGTGGTAAAATTTTAGAAAACTACAGTATTCAATTAAAAATATTGAAAGCATATAATATCAATTTTCACGTGATGAGGCAGATAAAATCAATTTGGTTATTACTGATTTACGATTTTACAAAAAGTCTTTAATTTGATTACTATGAAATTTGATGTTTTATAGAAACCGTACACATTCTGAAAATTGGTGAGAAAAATATTTAATACTTTTCAATTTAAAGCTAATCAAGTGCACATAATATTGAACAAATAGCAGTAATGGCAGGTTTCCTTCAAATCACTACACTGTTGATACGGTGTTTCAGTGCAATCGTTGTACTGTGCAGCAAACCCGACGCAAGCGAAAAGACTCCCTGTTTTTGCCATTCGCACAGTAAACAGGCATACATAATGGAATTCGTAATCTTAAATAAAGTAATATTTTATATTTGTAGGTTTTACATTGGTTGTGATGTTTGTCTAAACTGGTTCCATGGAGAGTGTATCAACATATCGCCAGACGAGGCTCAGAACATTAAGGACTTTATTTGCAACGACTGCCAATTGCAAAAACAAGAACAGGACGATGAGTTGTACTGTCTATGTCGCACCCCGTACGACGACTCACAGTAAGCATGTTTTATTTTGTTAATTATAGAATAATATTGTAAACTTTTAGAGTGTTAAGCGTCGGGTACTCGCACTACACCCGACGGTTGTCAGCCAATGCGATTCAAATTAGAGCTTTCGATTTGCGTGACGACTCAGCATTAGAACAGAATCACTCATGCATGACCATCCTACCGGGCGTCCTACGTTATCTCCATACGTAGATTTGGCCAAATTGTGTCCGATAATCCACAGGACGAGGAGAACTTAACTTTCTCGCATGCGCAAATGGCTTTTTGTCACGTCATTACGTTCTATGTCCTACCGTCATTGTGCAATGAAAAGCTTCATTCTTTAGTAACTACAGTAGGCTAGGAATTATCATCACACTCAAAAAATCCTATAGAGAACAGCCTAGCTATAAAATAATTATCATGAAAGCTATACAGGGCGTACGTACGACGCCCCTCGCTATAAAGTATGGGTGAAGAGGGCGTTGTCGCGACGCCATACGACTGGAAAGGGTTAAGATGTTAAAATTCATGTATTTTCAAAATGTATTATTATATATGCTTTATTTGTTTAAGCTTGTCTGTTGGGCTGTCCATACTATCAAATTTAATTTGACAAAAACATGTGACATGCCAAAATATGGTCATGATGACATCACATCATGACCATATATAGGCACATCATGACTATATATGGGCATACAACAGTTTTTTGGACAGGGCTTAATGAAGAAAATATATGGCTGAGGAAAATCAATGAAGTCTAGACAGAAAGAGACATTTTAATGTCATAAACCTAATAATAGTATATATTCTATATGTTAAGCTAATAAATTTGAACACTAAAATTCAGATCATGGTCTTATATATAATTAAAAAAGTTATTAGATTTTTTTCTGAGAACATAATCCTTGTTAATTTATAAACTCAGGAACACTGTTTGAGCATTGTTTGACCAGACAAGTTTATAGGACTTTTTTAAAGCCTGTCCAGACTATCAAATTTTATTTGACAAAGAACTGTTGTATTCCCATGTATTTTCCTGATGTCTCTGTTAATTTTATAGTCAGAGCTTAAGAAATATGTAAACATCAAAGACTAGGTTTTTTTTTTCATCTGGGTCTCGTTGAAAGTTGAAAGTTGATTGGAATTGGAAGTTGAAAGTTGATCATCATTGGTTATCGGTTAGCAACTACCTTTTTATAACAACCAATCATATGTGAGCATTACCATGGTTGTCAGGGGTGAGATTATTCGAAATGTTCTAGCCATATTTTTACTTAAACTGTTTTTCCCACCAAGTTTCTGGTTATTTTCCACCCTAAATTAGCAATGTTAAAATGATCCATGCCATCCCTGTCCATGGATCATTTTACACAGTAATGTAATTTGTTGTTTTTATAGCATTTTTTTGTAGTATAATAATAACAATAATAATAATAATAGTAGTAGTAGTAGTAGTAATAGTAATAATAATATTGATAATAGTGGATATTTGTATACCACCAAACCTGGGGCTCAATGGGTGGACATATATATCTTTCAGTAACTTCCTGTATCCCTAAGGGTCTCTCCGTGTCTTAACTACCCGCAAAAGCAGTACCAGCTACTTTCGTCTGTCCACCATATGGGGCTGTATGTACCAGCACACCGGGGGTTGGGAGGTTAGGGTGGAGGTGATATACTGTGTTCTTCAAAGTGCCCACAAGCTGATTGTGTTCATTGGGCCTACGGTTTATACAGTAGTCCCTCTCCGAGAATAGTTATTCCCAGGCACGCGTAGTGTCATACGTCCATTGGCCAAGTATCGATCTCCATCCTGTGAGTGCTTGACGATGTGATGTCATCTGCTAGTTGTCGTTGTCAGCCTGAGTTGATCGTTGTTAAAACAGGTTTACCAAAATGCTCTGCAGAGTGTTCCCGCATGAATAATAATAAACATTAACTTATTGCAAGCTCGATTTAATCTTTGAAATTTGATTTATAAACTTTAAATTGGTTTATAAACACTTTTTAAATTGTGTTATTAATATTATTATTCAAGTGTTGGCTTTATCATAATAGGGATAAACAGCAATAAAAAAGTTTGTTTGAAATTTCTTTGAATTTTAAATTCTTTTAATTTGTTTACTAATTAATTTAAATTATGCCCTTTCGGAATAAACTGTAAAATTTTAACATCACTATTTGATTGTGTTTTGAATGGTATGTGAAATTGCTTGGTTTGATCAACGACTTGTGTGTGCTTAGATGGAACAGATGGCAGACATTTGATTAGAAATGACCTAAAAATTCAACAAAATTGAAGCGATTGATTAATTTTAAGCTATTGTCCTACTTTTGATACAAAATCATAAATCAAATAAGCAAAGACAATGAATAATGCAAATAATATAGGTATATGATATTAAAACCTCGCAGTACATTACTCAACAAAAGACTCGAATACTAAAAAAAATCATGTAACTTTACCATATGACCAGTATCTGAATTTATGATACATTTTAATATGAATTTTCATTGAATTATTAAAGTGAATGGCTAGCGGCGATGCATTTACCACCATTCAAGTAAAAACCAGCCATCAAGGCGTATTTACACAGTGCAAAATACACACGCAATATATTGGCATAAAAAAGTGAAACCTGTACAAATGCACCCTGATCATGATATGACAGAGCAATGTACCGCTCTGAATCATACAAATATTTTTATTTTATTTAATATGTTTCTGTTACCATGCGACTTGAAATATTCTAAACAGTTGGCAACATCATCCTTTGCTTAGAATGTAGACTGCAAACCCCCCCCCCCCCAAATTTGCGTTTTTTAATTACTGCTCTCATGTGCGGTGGGTAAGGATTTCACTGTGCGACAGAATGTTTTTGTCGCTGTTGTACGTCAATGTTGTATACTGATTTAAATGGCATTTTGGTCTGTCAGACTCGAGGCATGTCTAATCAGATCTGTGTTCAATTGAGAATTTTCAAGTCTGCTAGAATCTGGGCATTTAAATAATTATCCATAAAGAATTGAAATGTTTTAATTAAAATATCTGATGCTTTGTGCTTTCTTACTCATTATTAACTCTGATAATTTAAACTCTTTGGTGAGACCTCTTTTATGATATCTGGCTGATAGCCAGAAGAAACGTCCTGGAAAGGAAAACAAATACTGGTTTATAATAAAGAATAACTATCACATTACTCTTTTACACTTTGGCAAGTCGAATGGCCGAGCGGTTAAGGCAAAGGGCCCATAACCTACAGCCGTAATATCGGTGCTGGTTTGAACGGCACGCTCGCCTATGGCTCTGGAGGTGGAGCAAATCTTCTCGGATAAGGAATATAAACCGTAGGCCCAGTGTATGCAATGGCTCATGTGCACTATAAAGAACCCAGTACATCTTTCGAGACGAGTAGAGGGTTACCCCAGTGTAATGGTTCATCTCAAGCCCCTGCCCTCATCCAGATGCTGAACAGACGTTGATGAGTATCTGCATAGATTTAGATTACCTTGTTTAGCGAACCCTCCAACTACCAATAATGGTAAAAATATAAATAAAAATCAAATTTTGCTTTTGGTCGGTTAGCGAACCCTCCATCATGAAAAACGGAAATTTCAGATTTTAATTTATTTTTAATTACACTCCCTCCTCTTCCCTGAAATCTCCAAAAATAAATAAATTTCTTCCTAAGTTATATAAATTTAAAGCATTTTTCAATCTCATAATACTGTACACTGTTTACATTCATCAGTATAACATTTTATTTTTTTTTTTTCCCCTTTCTCTGACAATCTTTCAATAAAATAATTCACTAAACAGTAATCTAAACTCTCCTATGATCACCCTGTTTCCTAAATAAGTGATTCAGATAACCATCATTATGTGAACTAACATGTGTGTTTTGTAAATATTATTTCTTAATTAATTCACAAGTAATAATTTGCAAATTCATTTTGCTTATATATTTATGTCGAAATCTTAATAACAAAGGACATTTTTTATGTTTATTAAATCATAAAATGTCACATTAAAAATTTAACCTATACAAGGTATTATTTCTATTTATTTCAGTTTTTATTGATTGCTAAGTGCTTCTATAAAATTGACATTAAATTATCTATTCACAGAAGATTAAATTAAGCTTAATATTGATATTTGAGCCATCACTTTATAATTACCTATACCTACTGTATTATGGTATGAAAAACTATCAGATTAGTCTTTGAATTGACAAATAAGATGATAAAGGAGATAGTTTATTGATAATTTAAATTATGTCTGATCAAACAAAGTATGTTAAATTGTAAAAGTAAAGGTAGAATAACCCGTAGTGATTGTGCTGAACTGCATATGGGCGTGGTCTGTGACTACCTAGCAGCCGTAAAGAGGCGCTTATAGTATGTCTACAAAGACTGGGCTGAAATGAACCATAACATCGGGGTAACCCCCTACTCATTCAAAATATACAATGGGTTCTTTAAAGTGCACACAAGCCAGATATACTGGATCTCCATTTTAGGTTCTTATCCGAGATGATATGGTTCTACCAACCGAAACCTGGGCAAGGAGTGGCTGGAACCAGCCCCTGCCTTACCACTCGGCCACTCGACTCACACAAAGTGAGACAGATAAAAAACAAAAGTAATCAATGCGTAAAGTAAAGAAGGCAAACATCTCCAAAAATACAGTTAGAGAATAAAATGCAAAAATGTACAATGTACTTACACAACTGAAACAACTCCACTCTCTCCCCCCAGGCCTCAATCCCCCAGGCCTTATTCCCCCAGGTCTCATCCCCTCTTTCCCTCCCCCCCTTGGCCTCATTAGGAAGCTTGGTATCTAGCATCGTCCATCCCATAATTGCCGAGTTAAATGAAATAAAAAATATAATTTTTGAGTTGTGGTATGTTTTTAATGTTTTTTTACTTTTTAGAATAATAATAATTACAATGATTGTTGGCATACTGCGTACCTACACGATTTGCGATTTTCTTGATAAATAATTATAAAGTTGCCTTTTGTCTCTTTTTTTTTATTATTTTATTTTATTTTTATTTTTTGGTGCTGTCTTTTCTCCAGTTTGATGTTGTTATGCATCTTCTTTTTTTTTCTTTTTTCAAACCTTGTGATCGCATATAATATATTTTTTATCTGTTTATTTACATGTTTTTAAAATTATTATTATTGTGAAGTTTTTTATGAGACACAATAAAATAAATAAAGAAAAAAATGTAAGGCACTATAAAAATATTATTTTTTAGGCTGGAAAAGTAATGAGGGAGGAAGGATTTTTTTATTATTATTATTATTTTGCTAAAGCCAAATATCACCTTCAGGTTGTTTGGCTGGTGCATTAATATTCAAAGTAAAACATGATTGAGATAATACAAACAGTATCTAATTTTTAATAAAAAAAGAAATTAAAAAAAAAATTTATTTTTATTTTTCAGTACCATTGAAGACATGCACGCAAGGGTGATAAACTAATATATTTTTTTTTTATTGGGCTTAAAATGGGTCACTTAACATTAATGATATATCTCCTCGGAGCCAGCGGCCAAACCATGCTTAGTTTAAGGAGTAGGATTAGTTAAGTATCATTATATTTGTATTCTTATTTATGTTAAGGGCATAGAGGTCTCTATGATATGCGCTCTATACGTCGACCATTATTATTATTATTATTATTATTATTATTATTATTGTTTCAATCATGACAGGTTCTACATTGGGTGTGATCTTTGCAATGATTGGTTTCATGGTCAGTGTGTTGGAATTGGACAGGAAGAAGCTGAAGCTATTGACAGCTATGTATGTAAGAAATGCCAGTCTAAGCAGTCCCAGAAGGCACTGGATAAAAATCTGACGCACCGCGATATGGATCATCTACGAAAAATTGTTCGCCAAATGCAGGTGAATGCTCGCTCTCAACTTTTAAATTTCATATTTATTTATATATATTTATTTACTTTTTTATATATATTTATTATATTTATTTAAATTTATATTTTTATGTCCATTTTGTGTTAATGTTAACATTTGAAATTCTATATTTTTCTTTAACATGTGTGTATCCTGAAATCCTATACATTCCTTGTATGTAGTATCCAGGCATCCATCCTGGAATATACATCTTGAAGTCTTCATTCCGGGTGTTCCTTCTGTGTGTTATATTCTTTTAGTATGTTTCTAGGTGTACCATCTTGGAATTTTCATCCGATTCCCAGTATAAACATTTTGGGTGTCCTGTCCCAGTAATTTAAGAGTTTTCCTTTCCAGGGATACATTCCTTATATGAACATATTGATCTGAATTATGGATCTTCTGGTGTGGATGATTTCTTGAGTTCATGGGGTAAAATTGTTTAGTTCTTTGCATGTGTACCTTCTTGGTGTGGACATATTGGTGCAACTTTCAGAATGTCCTATCCTTATTCTGTACGAATCATATCAAGTTTGTGATTTCCTGTTGCAACTGTCTTGACATTAATTCTAGATTCCCCTTCCTGGTTTCTGGTTTCACTACAAGGTGTTAACGTCTTAGTTTATGAAAATAAAAAAGGTTATGTAAGTTATTTCACATAATTCTGTATAAAATTAAACAACTTGCAGTGTCGTCCTTAATAAAATAGTTAAAATTGTTTCATTAAAACTTAGCGAGTTTAAAAAATGACTACCGTAAATGCTGGAATAAGCACTTCAGTGCGGCGCTTATAAAAAAAATATTGGTGTGGCGCTTTCCATGCTCGTTCCCATGTTACCTATTTCACATATTACCATAGTTCGGTAGGCCTATCGTAGGTCCTACAGCATCGTAAATAAATATTTATAAAGAAATGCTTGTGTTATTTTAACACTGTATACATTGTATTTAAAACACTGTTTCTCAAAGTGTTTCATTACACACAGGGTAATATATATGCTCGATTAAGCGCTGCATCACTTAACGAAAACGTCATGGTTGGTGGGGCTCTTATTTAAGAGCGGCTTATTAGAGAGTGATGCTTATTTGAGCATTTACGGTACGTTTGTAGCATCGTAGGACAGTTGTCCATTTCTCAAGGGCTAGGCAACAGCAGGCCTACAAAAATATTTTTGCACCTGTAAGTCAAATTCAAATGCTAGACTAACCCCTGTATTGGCCCATGAATACTGCTCCATGTCAGTATGCTAATTTTCTGGTTTTCTTGGAAGGATCATACAGTAAACATGACTTAGTACTGATAGCAGTATGTGCTTTATAATTGTTTATTTAATCTATGGTAATTTTGTATGTTTATTCACAGAGTCATAAAATGGCATGGCCTTTCTTAGAACCAGTGAGTAGAGATGAAGTTCCTGATTATTATGAAATCATTAAGGAGCCTATGGGTAAGTCCCTAAAAGTTCACCAATCATTGAAACTTTATTTTTACTTTCATATATAAGTTAAGTTTCAGATTTTTACTTTCTCTAGTAGAGGAAAAACTTAGTCTGTCTTCAAATGTACAGTAGAACAACGGGATGTGTTGATGTGCCTTTAAAACACTCTTAACCTTCTATTCCTCCTTCCCCCCCCCCTCCCATCTTGCCTCTTCTCAACCAGTTGTAATAGGTGTATGTTACATGTTTTTAAATTTTTTTAAATAATTTTTATCTTCCAATGCAGTGCATATAACATGCACATTTTGTACTTTCATGAATTAAAAGAAAACAAATGGTGTAAGTCGACATAGATAGTTGATTAAAAAACAGAAAACGAAGAGAAATTAAAGATTTATAATATTATTAAGTACACCCCATTCACCCTTCATTACAGTCACATCCCCTCTCACCGTAACACCACCCCGCCATCCTCTCAACATCACCCCAACTTAGAAATAACAATTATTAGTGAGAAGTGTGGCATTTTATCAGGCTTTATAAAGCATCAAACAAGAATCTAGAACAGTACAGTATTCATTTCACCTGATAAAATACTAATACATTAATTAAACACCTTAGGTGTGCCAAACACAGGGAACACTACCGTTTTCAGAGTCATTCACCTAATGTGCATGTGATTATCCTGAGCTAAGTAAACGAATAACACATGTTTTCTTTATAACCATGTATTATGGGCCAAGCATGTGCGTTCATGTGAAGCATTAGTCAAGATTTTAATACTTTGTTTAGCGAACTTACTTTATTTTAAATTGTCAGAGGAGGGCAGGAAAAAAATAAAAGGTTTGTCTTTTTATTTAGCAAAATGATTTCCAGAACCATCTAGGCAGAGGGAAAAATAAAAATAAAATGTTATTGATGAATGTAAACAGTGTAGTAATGAGATTTATAAATGCTTTGAATTTATATAATAAAGAAAAACTATATATCTTATATTTGGAGGTATTTTGGAGGGCATAATTAAAAATAAATTTATAAGAAATGTTTCTGCAATTTTTGTTATGGTTACACTAACTGGCTTAAAATAGAATTTTATTTTTATTCAAAAATCGTCATTATTGCTGATCGGAGGGTTTTGCTAAATAAAAAAAAAGTGTCGCCTTTGCGAAGTATCTCAGTACTACCATATCGTATGTTTATAAGGGAAGCATAGTAATTACCTTTCTTTACAGCATTCTGTTTGTAAGGTAACTGAATGTTTTGTTTTTTTTTCAATTGGAAAATAATGAGAGGATCTTTCTCAAACTTTGTCCAAGCAAAGATGGTATAATTAAATCAAACCATGACATCATTCTACATATTTTGAATATTAATAAACAGATAATTAAATTTTTATGTTACTACAATTTGCATTTGAACTAGCTACAGCTAGGTTAAACACAAAATTACTGTCAAATGCATGCAAGGTAGACAAACTAAAAGTACACCGACCTCTGGAGGGTTGGATTCTTTAGCGTAATAAGACCTCTCAACGTCAATCTCGCTGTTACCTTTGCAGCCATAGTTTGAGTCTCACAGACATTGAGTTGTCACGTTTACTTTTTCATCTTCATAATTTTCTTTAGTGTGATTTTAATTTTGTTTTTCATGTCTTTACTTTACTCTTCAAATGATTTTTAATTTTATTTTTGTAATTTCATCATCACTTTGGCAATGTGGAAAAGCCCTATGTTCTATTTAGCAAACTGACATAATGAGTCTAGTTGAATTTGATTTCATAGAGTGAAAGAAGAAATCTATTGAAATTAGGCATCTTTTGAGTTTTCTCTCCGATAATTTGCTTCTTCAATGTCGTCTGATATATTTTAATATCAATTCCCTTATTTTTCATTTAGGTGAAATGTGCTTTTTCAATAGTCCTGAATAGACAACATAATAAAAATTGCAATCCTTGATATGCTTTATTGACTACGGTTTTTAATAATGTGAAAAAGAAAATTATACATTGTTATTTTTTGTTTGGACTGAAAAAAATCATTGATTCTTGTTATTATGTTTAGATTGGAAAAAAAATTACTGATCCAATCAATCAATCATTGAATTTGTAAGACGCAATTGCAATAATCATTATTTTCGGCGCCACAGATGTCATTGAGTTAAAGGTTTTTTTTGATTTATGAATTATGATAGCAATAAAGATAGCATTCTGAGGGGGGAAACGTAATAATAATCATGAATTTGCAAAGCATAATTAGTTTATGTTTGGCCGTTTATATACAACACTTATTATTATCTGACAAAAGAGGACATTATCATCAAGAAATAATAACAAAAAAAAGCCATTAAAAGAAACAAGAAGAGAAGTAGAAAATAAAAATAGAAGTGTAATATTTTGAGTATCTGATAACGTTGCAGGGATACTGTGGCAAGTCAAGTGGTCGAGTGGTAAGGCAGGGGCTCCACTAACTACAGCCTTAAAATCGGTGATGGTTCCAGCCACTCCACACCCCTTTTTACGGACGCAAGTTAGTCCCAGACCATACCAATGCCCAATTTAGCTTAGTGACACTGCAACTTATATTTTATTCTCCTACCTCTTCATAATTGGCAAATCTTACTTTCGCACACTAGAGAGGGTGGAGAGGAGGGCTCTCCAAATGAATGCTGTTAATATTTTGGAATTGTCACTGTACTCCATTTTTCAACTATTGAATTCAAAATTTTTAAAAGTTTTTAAAATTTTAACCATGCTAGTACAATAAAATAATATTGATACTCACACGCTATCATAACCACCATCATGATAAGTAAGTGCTATCTCATATGGAAGTCCATACTCTCTTGATTTGAAGCCCACAGGCTTCTTTTGGAGATTACTTTTGCAAATTAAAGAGGGAGAGATTGGGCTTCTTCTCAGGATTAAGCCCATTGGGCTTCTATTGAAGGTTTTACGGTATTGGCATTTGTACTGCCTGGTATTGTATAGTATCTACTTGTGCTGCTAAGTGGATGGGGGCAAGATGGATAAGGGGCAACCTTTCTGAAGTACACATATGAACCGTGTGAAATCGAAACCAACACTCCTTCATGTTAAGAAATTCTATATTGCAAACACAGCACTGTTTAACCCACAATAAAAATAATGTATTATATACTTATTTATTTAATTATTTTCGAACAAACAGCAAAAAATCACATGTATAAATACAGAAATACAGGCAGGACAATCAAAAGTACATTCAATAAACAAAACACCCTTTAGATGATGCTAAAATTGGTATGGAGAAATCAACATCTCTGTCAGAGATGATATAAAAATGTTAATTACCATAGTTTTTGATATAAAAAAAAAATATAGTCCCAACAGGATTATCATTTTAATTGTGTTTGCAATATATACATTGGGAATGTTGAGCCTGTTGGCCTTGAAGCTCAGTTGCGTATATTAAAATAACATGGTTAATTGGTGGTTTTTGGTTTTGAATCCTGATTTATTGTTTTTCTTTCTCAAAAACTATCATCTTAATGATCGTCTGATGTTGCAATAATATCCTGCCATAATTGAATCAAAATTATTCCATGTTATTAGTTGATTTTTGCAATTAAATTATTATTTGTTATTTTTATTGTATAATATTATCCTTTATTTATATATTGCTTAAATTTTCATTGCTACTCTCATTCCCATTTCCTCCCTGTGTACTCCATGTTTTCTTTCGAATTAAAATTTTGTTTCATCCAACGAGGAACTCTATAAATAGATTAGGAAAAAATATATGATGCAAGAAGTAAAAAAAACAGCTTAGCTTACGTGTGAAATAAATTCCGACACAGGATTTAATATTTTCACCTAAAAACCATATGTATCCAGGTTAGACTTTTGGACATGGCAGACAGAGTGTGATGTTTAAAAAATGTCCTTTTAATGGGGAAGTTGAACGCATGAAGAGTGTTAAATAACATAATAGGAATTTGCCTGACAGCACATAAATGTTGCATATTATATCCCTGCGGATTCTAAGGAAGCAATCTTTCGCTTTCGTCGCACCTTTTTTTGCAATAAATGGCTGGAAATAATTGCAATTTTCTCTAAGTAGGGAACAAATTTATGTGCTGTGACTTCATTCCTCTCTAATTTTTGTCCTAAAACCACAAAAATGTAAAAAAAAAATATTATATTTTTCTCTACATTTTCTCATTTAGATCGTTGTTGGCACACTGTCAATTTAACTTGCATTATAAATACTTTTCTAACAAGTAGAAATTAGAACTGGAATGTTACATTCATTTGCATTTTGTATATTGAAAGCTGAAATGTTTTGCCTATTGTAATTATTTTAGAGGCAGAATTTGTATTTTAAAACAATTATAATAATTAATATCTGTACAGTGCTATTAAGGATTTGTTTAATTTTTATTGCAACATACCCATCTAATTTTATCATTATTTAAATTTGTTTAAAGTAGAAATTAAAACTAGGATTTTACCAACATTGCATTTTATATATTGAAATCTATCAAATGTTTTGCCAATTATAATTATTTTAGAGACAATTTGTATTTTAAAACAATTATAATAATTAATACCTATACAGTGCTTTTAGGATTTTTTAATTTTTGTTTAACATCTAATGACAAAAATTGGTCATTATTTAAATTTGCCACAGTTGATACAAGATTTTATAGTAGTCTATTTTCAGAGGATCATCACTGCATGGCTGTGCTTTTTGAGGGACCTCTGTGTTTATTATGTTGAATTAAAAATAGACAAACTCGCTGTTACTACAAAAGTCCTTAAATTGATTACAAATCAATGTAATTTTCCGTGTAAAATATGTGGAAAGTATTTTCTCGTTCTAAAGTTCTGTGCAGATTGTTGTTATTATTACTATATTATTATTATTACTTAAATTTTACAAGCATATTAAATACTGAATCTTTACTTAAAATTGACGTGCTCAACAGCAGTAGTATTGTGTTTAAATTGTCTTGGTACAGAACCATACACA